CAACGCCACAACCCACGCCACCACCCACCACCCACCACAACAGTAGGTTCTGAACATCGTCGGAGCATTGAGCAGACTTTCTGGGGAGAATGATGCGCCGATGCGAACGATGCTCACAGCCAGGGCCGCTTTGGCTACAAGAAGCGCTCAGGCGTGCGAGTGAAAGTTTCCCAAACTCAGGAACTACCATTCCCAAACTCAGTGTCTCCAGTTCCAAAACTCATTGTGATTCGCTTCCCGTGGGTTGCTTCACTTGTGAACTTGAACAAAGATATTTGTTCCTCAGGTAGCACGTGAAGGGGACTGGAACTGCAAGATGTGTAGCCTGATTGCACTAAGAATAGCTGCTTTGGATTTTCTTTTGAAGCAAAAGTGAAAACATGTGAAACCCTATACTGTGTACATTCTTTGCAGTCGCTGGTGAATATCCCGTTTAAGGCTGCACTGCGGTATTTAATGCTAAATAATGCTAAGGTATTCGTGTTGTGAGCACGGCGTCACCAAATCCCTTTTGCACTCATCTGCTTTGGACATGGCGTGTCATATAGAATACACCAGAACCATGGCTGCCAAAACGTCGCATGGTGGTGGAGGTAAAGGTTGCACGGTTGCACGCAAGATCAACGAACAACCCTAAAAGGTCCCTTGTTGCATCTACCTCCCGCATTTTGCCACTGTCACTCGCTCGCCCGGACAATCAAACCACTTGCAAACCATCAGACCTTCCTATTCCTCCTTGTCCTTGCTTTCTCCTTACGACGTTCCCTGATCAGAGAAATGGGCAGGATGCACTACTCTCATTCGTTGCAACTCCGCTTCCAGAGTAGAGGGACAAAGGATTTTTCTATATAGTTAAATTATCCTCCATACCTGGAGGCTTTTCAGCAATAAGCTGAGCAGCTGGCTTGTGGCAGCCAAGCGTTCATAGCGACTTTGATCCGACGTTTGATCTTTGGCAGCTTGCAGGGTCCAAGGCGCCGAGAAGGGTTTGAGGGGGGAAGGAAACCGTGCCAGCGCACAGTGCTCTCGGCTTGCAGGGCCGAAGGCGCTGCGGAGTGTTTCACGGGGAAAGGAAACCATGCCGCGTAGCAGTTGTCGCAGCCCCATAGCAACACAGTTGTGGGGGTTGGAGATGCCACGCTCCGGCAAAGAATAGCTCCACGCCAAAAGTGAGTATGCTACTGCGGTCCTCCTTATTACAGCGCTTTCTCGGTGCAGGAGTTGTGAGGACAAAAAAATACATTCATTTCTTGAAGGAAAGGGGTGGACGGTGAGGAAGGGCAGGTACAGGACGCAAGAAATCCAGCGTCCTGTCTTGAGGTAGAAAAAGGTACTGTAGCGTTATACCGCTGCACCCCTCAAGATATCCCAGGATGGAAGCACGGGGGTCATCGAGGGCCATGTAAAACAGTTTCATAGATGCGGAAAAAGGTGTCCACCCCTCAAATTGTAACGCTTCTTTTTCCTAAGCACGCACAAGTGTGAAGTTAAATCTTGAGATTTTACAGGCACTCCGTCTCAGCGGAAGAACAAAGCAAGTTAGATGTGTCGGTGTTGCGTGCACGTTTGAGCTCAGGACTTCATAGAGGCTTTGAACTATATAGGGTATAGGGCAACTCGCCGGCCTGCGCTGCTTTTTAGAAAGCATCCCTTTGTTTGATTACTTGATTACCGAGTTAAGCTGAATGCAAACGAGCCTTTGAGGTTTCAATAGATTTCACAAGACATAGTTATATATACATGATATTACGCGATGTTGCATGACTATGTTCAAAAGCATCCTTGACAACATACTGTTTTTACGTCTAAAAGATCCAATGTGCAGACCCCTTTGTTCATATAAGACCAAATCTCAAAAACCGCCAGGAAGTTCACAACCAGTTTGTCTATGACATCTCAAGCGCTCTTGTCACAATGATATTTTGACCCTATTCAACCGATGTTTGTTTGCGTCCTAGTATGTTCCTATTTCCTCTCGAATTTTGTCAACATGAGACCCCCAAATCGCGCAAACCTCAGGAAAAACACGCTAAACCTCCAAAATGTCTCTTCGAAATCACAGGTCCAGACCCCCCTTGCGCCAGGCCAGCCCAAAGCCGAAACAGTGAACAATCCCTTTGTATTTTTCCGTATATGACTTCGCAAGCATGGACCGCCTCAGACAGCTACTCCAGGTATTTTGTATTGAAAGCTTCTTGTTACTACTAGTAAGGCACTTGTTACTAGAAGCGATGCACTTGTTCCTAGTAGCTTATTTGCTATTGAAAGCAATTCAAAACACGTTTAGCTTTTTAGTTTGTTGTGTGATCAGCGTGGGAATTAACCTTGGGGTCTCGCGCGAAGGCAATGTTGCACCGACAGGAGCGTCCCCAAAAAGCAAGTCCAGGATCCAGAACCCATTCTGCCACAGCGAGAATTCATGGAAGTGTGGGGCAAAAGAAATTACCCAATGCATCTCATGACGTTCAGCTCGTTCCGTGTAGCCACATCACCAAGGCATGCGACACGCGGGGCCACGCAGAATGACACGATTGCGCGAATCAAAGCTATGTACCGAATGTAGAATTGAAAAGCCGGACACCAACTCCGCGTGGTAAAATTGGCGCCGTCCAGGTGAAAGACGGTGAAAGAAGACCGCTTCAAAACACAGTCCAGTGACTGGAGGCATAACAAGCACATTAAAAGCGCCCATGCCCTTGTGAAACCGATTGCCGACGCAGGTCCATCAACGGGTAGCGGTAGGATGTGGCCGAGACCTCGCAATCACAATCGCCCTTGCCACTTAAAAAAACACCCCCAACCCCGCCCAAAACCTAAAAAGTCAGTTTTTGCAATTAAACACGGTTTTTCAAAGACCATTCGCAAAAGACTTGTTTTTATTGGTAAATCACGGGTTTTGTGCGGGTTAAATACGGGTTCTGAACATGACAAAAAACACGGCGTTCGGAAAAAAACATTTTATTTTTCTCTAGGGTTTGGTTGCTCCTGGCATGCAAAAAACTCCAGCGTCGTTTTTCTTAATAGAGGGTCATCAAAGGGGGAACCCCCAAAGATGGAAACCTGGGAAGAGGTTCAAAGACAAAAAAATTAGGAAACATATATAATCTATATTTATATATGTATGAAACAAACTCATATCAAAAATTGAAAAAACTCCAGATGAAAGGGTCTTCCTTTTCCTCTTACAAATCCCTGTCTTAAAGCAGTGATTATTATTCGATATTCTTCACTTGTAAACTTTTCATCACGCTAGCAACTAACAGTTACTAACAGCTAAATCTATCGAAAGGTGATGTCACTGTGCCATGCGGTTTTGCGCGGCCTTGGTGGAAAAGTGCGTTTGCGCGGCTCATTGGGGAAGGGTGCAGATGCGTTTGTAGACGCGAGTGGCTCCAGGTTGCTTAGCAACCACAGGGTACAATGTTCGAATGCCATGGGTTAGCGAGACAATGTTTATTCCAGAAGTTGACTCCAGGGCCGGTCTGCGCAACCCCTTCTTATGGGTTGGCGAGTGGCTTCATAATGTTTCATACAACCCTTTATCGTTGCTACCATCAGGTCGACTGTCGCAAATTTTGCAGGAATTGGGACTGCAACCTTGTTGCTTGGGTTGGCACCGGGCATCGTGCCAGTGCTCATGATCCAACATGCAGTCACTACAAATGCGTGAAGTACCTTGTCTATGACTTCCTGTCAGGCCTCGCTTTGGTAGGCACTGGGCATCGTGCCACTGCTCATGATCCAACATGCAGTCACTACAAATGCGCGAAATACCTTGTCTATGACTTCCCTTTCAGGCCTCACTTTGTGCTCGTGATCCAACATGCAGTCACTACAAATGCGCGAAATACCTTGTCTATGACTTTCCTGTCAGGCCTCGTGCCATTTACCCGCACAAGTGTGCTGGTATCATTTTTGCCATCAGCGCCAAAACTTTTAGTCCCAACAATGCTATTCAAATTGTGGAAATCCCTGAGGAATTTTCTGGCCGTGTTGCTGCAGTTCGAATTCGCCGCCAAGATGTTGATTTCCTTTCATGGCGGTCTATGCTCCAACAGAGCCACGGACTGTTGCTGAAAGAGCGCATGTGGACAAATTGTGATTGTTCATTGGACGCTTGCTGGATGACGTGCCTTCCCGATGTGTTCCTGTCATTTGTTTGAATGCTAATGGTCGGGTGGGCTCTACTCCATCGCATGCTTTTGGCACCTTTGATAGTCAAAGAGAAAACCATAATGGGGCACGGTTGCGCCAAATTTGTGAGAGACACCACATGTGCCTTGTCAATACCTCCTTTTCGGCTGGGCCCACCTATCGCATCACGAATCGATTACATTTGCTTGCCTGCGACCATGTTGCCTTCTGTTCACACTTGCACGGTATTTCATCGCTCTGGACAACGGCTGCAGAAGATTGCCACACCAGGGCGGCGCGATCATCGGCCTGTCCATTGCGCTTTTCAGCATAAGTTGCGCTTCGCCGAACAGCGCCGGACACATCGCCATAAGTGGAACCGTGGAGGCGCTTGTTGCTGGTCTTACGGCAGGGCATGGTCGTAGTAAACTTGTTGAGACTGTCAATCATGCACTCCAATCTCCTGAGCTGCAGGCCCTCAGTGAGGGACCACCAGGCCCGTATTGGGCTTTCCTCAATGAAGTGGTTATGGGAGCAGCCAGTGAGATTTATTGCGCACCTAGCCATGCTGCGCCACAGAAGCCTGCCGACGCTGCGTGTGCTTTGGCGCGTCGCGCAGAGGCTTTGCAAGGTATTGTGCAAATGCTACCCACGCGCATTGCTTGTGACTTTTCTCATTTGCATGACTTGCAGCGGGTTGTTCATGCATGGTCTGCGGTTGTCACATTGCCGGCTCGCCAACGACGTGAAGACGTACCTCATCATGGCCGCTTGTCGCTGGAGTTTCAAGAAGCATGGTCACACCGCAAGTTCGCAAACGTGCGGCGGGTGGCAAGATCTTTGGCGCACCGCGCTTTGAGGCCCAAGCGCCGCCGATATGATGTACCACTATCTGCGCAACCTGATGCGCGCGAATGGAGCGCGTTCTTTCAGAGTAGTGGCCCTGACGGTGGTTGTTGCGCTGAGGTGCTCCCAAGCGTTGATAGTTTCTTGCTTGGTCAGACTCACAGTTTGCCCACGTTGGACCCAGAAGTGGCATCTTCCCTTGCGCTCAAAGACTACAACTATAATGCAGTCCAAACGCTTTTTCGAAAGCTCCCTTCTGAAGTTTGGCGCACGTTGCTGTACCCAAATGATTTTGTTGCTCGGAAAAAAGGGCTTGGTTCCCATGAACCAAAGCTTGACACTTGCTTGGTTGCACGTCGTCTTTTGCAAGGTCTTTGTGCAATTAGAAAGTACCAGCAAGTGCCAAGCTGTTGGCAGCTCAGTCAAACACACAAACTCAGCAAAGGCAACGGCAAGATTGGCTGTCACGCTTTGCACGCGGTCAATTGTCTTGATAGTGTTGGCAAATGTTTCTTCAAACATGTGTGGTCCGCTGCCAATCGCAAGCCGGACCGTTTGTATGCTTCTGGCTATACGCACGCGGCCGCTCTCGGATTGAGGCTATCACGCAGCAGCATGTTGTCGCTGAGCGTCTTCGCACGGCTGGATTCAGCTTCATTTCCTGTTTCCATGACATTGCCTCAATGCGTTTCCCTCAATGTCTCATCAGCACCTCCAAGGTGTTATCGAGGGTGCAGCTCGGGTGTCTGATGTCTCCTTGTTGTTGCAAAGAGTGCGGAACACTGGCATGGTTGTAGTTGTTGAGGCTTGTGATAAGACTGTTGTTGCGGCGCCTCAATCTGGAACATTGCAGGGTGATGGCATTGCTGGTGATTTGTCCATTGAAGGTGATCACCCGGCCGTTGATTCTTGGAGTTCTGACCTCGCTGCCAAAAGCACTGATATTTGCATTTCAGCTTTCTCTCCTATTGCATGACTCGGCTGAGGTTGATTTGGCGCTCTCAACCTATGCTGATGACTTGTGTCGCAAGATTGTTGTCACCAGTCCCGACGATGCGGCTGCCAAGGTACGATTCAGCAATGAAACATTGGACTCTCATTTGGGACGGGTTGGCGTGGCACAAAACACCAGAAAACAGCAACATGTTGTGCGTTTTGCACTGCCGCAAAGTCGCTCATACTCGCGCCATCATACAACGGCAAAGGTTGGATGGCTCCACTGTTCCGTTTGCTAGATATTTGGGTGGTTTTCAGACGCATAATGCGTGCGCTGCTGCCGGCAATATTTTGGCATTCTTTTTAATTGGCAGATGATTTTATCAATGTTGATGCTACTGAATTACGTACACTTGAATTGTCGGTTCATATCCCACCGCCTGGGCATGTCCCTGAAATTCCGGACATTGATGCCCCCGAGGTTGATGGTGATCCAGTATCCCACAAATGTGAAATTCAATTGGCAGACGGCCGCGAATGTGGCATGCAATTTGATAGTTTGCGTGGTTTGTTGTTGCACCCGCGCAGAAGCAAGGCGGCAAATCACGGCGCAATTTCCAACTTTTACAAAGCTGCTCATGTCAACCAATGTCCTTGGTATTTATGGTTCACGCATCTATTATTTCTACGCGCCGGCCTGTACGCCGTCGGCTTGAAACTGGAGAATGTCCATCTGATTGTTGTTGCGGCAGTGTGGTTTTTACTGAGCCCATGGTTCCACCTGACTTGGTTTGCAAGTTTTGTGGAGAGGACTGTGTTGAGTTGCCGCAGCCTTTTGCCCATATCCGATCACATTTCCCTTAGCAGACGTCCGGCTGTCCGCTCGTCGATGGAGTCCTGGATTCGTCGCTCCAATGATCAAAAGGGGCCCCCTGCCAAAGTTAGGGTGGTATCACCGCGTGAAGATTCAGAACTTGTGCGTAAAGCTCTTTTGTTGGTGTCCAAGATGACTCTCCGGCAAGAGCTCGAGATTCGTGAATTGCAGGCCGCAGTGTTTCGAAGCCAACTTGGGCCGCGATCACAGAGCTTGCTCCGTCACAGCCTCGTTTGGATGCCACTGACAAGCCACGATTTCTTCTCACCGAGAGGCCATGACTAGCCCAGACACACTCACAGGGCTTATCTACATCACCAAAATCAAGAAGGCTTTCAACAAGGGCGAGCGTAAGCTATTCATTGCAGTCCATCCAGATCACCAAGCTCTTCTCGAGGCGGTTGCTCAGGGCATTCTAGCAACAGGAGCGGTCGAAAAGAAAGGCCCAGCCCCTCAGAGCGGGATGGCGCGCGAGCTGCAAGCATTGGTCGACGAGTTGACCGAAATGAGCGGTTCCTGATTGCTTTTCACTTATAGTTCAAACATGCGCAGATGCTTCTGGTGTCCTGCAGCACTGTTGACTCTTGCCTGGTGCGCGGCAGCACTGTTGAAGCCTGAGCCCTGTCGCGCTGTGAGGGCACGCGGCCTGGAGTTTTTAGAATGAGGGAAGCAACAAAGCTTCTCGCTCCGTCGTGACAGACCCTGTCGCCCGAAACGGTTGAGTTGAGTTGAGTGTAAACGCGGAGTGATGCCAGTGAGGACGTGATTTGTGATGATTCAGCCTTAGCAAATCAATACAATGCGTGAACAAAAGAGTTCCAGAAATGTATTTACATGTCAGCCAAACTTCAACGAGTTGGAAAGCGTGGCTCGTGTTGCGCGGCGGCATGATTGGCACACTGTTTGGGTAGGCGTGACATGTCAGAAACGCAAACCACACGTGTGGATAGTTGCCATGTCATATACAGTTACAGCAATAAACCATGCAGCTATGACAGCTATGAGAGCAAAAAAGACACCATGCGTCCTTTGGTGTTGGCCCTTCCAAACACTTTTTTTCCGGGCAATTGACATTGCTGCGCGTTGGCAATATGGCACGAAAGGTAGCTTGGTAAGGGCAACCTTGAGTTTGCTTTGCGAAGCAGAAGGGTAGCTTGAAGCGTCCCGGACTGTGAAATATCAATTCTATGGGGGCCCCTTTCTGCAGTGATATATCATATCATTGATTGGGGGAGTCGCCCTTGTAGTGATTAATCAATACTTTGGGACCCCGCCACTAGACGCCCGCGTTTACACGCCACGGCTCTTACGCAGACCAACGTTCACACACCATAGTTTTACGCAAACTAGCGTTGACACAACATTGACTCTGCGCAAAGCAGGCACAGACACGTATTTCTGGACAAAACAGGGTTTACACTCTGCAGTTTCTATGCGAAACAGTGCAGCGCAAGGCACAAGGTTTTCATAAGGCGTTTTTTGCACAAACCACCGTTTACAAACCAGAGTTTCTGCAAAAAACAGAGTTTACACCGCAACATTTGCACGAACCCCCCTCCACGAAAACCACCATCAAGGTATCACACGAGACAACACCACATGAGGCAACCTCAAAATTATCATCAACCACTTTAGTAAGGGACGTTTCATCTCTGCGTTGCTTTCGTGATTTTCCTTGAAAAACGATAGGGGACTGACAAAAAACGATACCCCTATGTATACATACTTGCAAAATCCAAAACCATGGAAAACGATAGGGGACTGACAAAAGTGAAACGAAAACACTCCAAGCATGTATTTTTGACGCTAACTCACATGCCCTTCCAACTTCTCCACACAAACTCACCCTGGTGAATGTATCCCTTTTTCAATAACACACTTGTATACTACGAGTTTTTGAGAATTTATGAATGATCCACACAATTTACAGAACTCCCTTGCCAGAAGTGTCCTTCGTTGGCGGACACTAGCAGTCCCTTTTTTGGCAAAGTTGACAGTCCCACCGGGACACCAAGGCCCAAGGAATCTGCATGGCACACACTCACGACAACATGTGACATGAACATGGTTGTACTAATGCACCTGGCTGTGTTTTTGTGCTTGATTTGTTTTTGCAGCATTGAGTGTGTAGTTGATAGTTGATTGTCTTAGGTGGCGACTTGCAGTTTGCCCGCAATGCAGCTTGTAGGCCTTGCAACCCAAGCATGAGTCTTCTAGTTGATTTAGAGTTTCTAGTCGCGATGAGGCGGTGCGGTGCGGAGAAACCACCCGATGCGGGATTGACGCAGCCAGCGCTCACCTTAATTGATTTGGCGCAAACGGCACACTTCAGAGAATTGCAAATGGGAAACCGTTTTTGAAATTCATGTTTGTCACTGTGTTTGGAAACTGCTTTGGGTTTGCTCGTTCTACTATAAATCTATACATAGTTTTTCCTCTAATTTGAAGGTTGCGACACCTGCTGCCACTCCAGTCGCTGCAGCTTGGATGAGAAGGTCGCTAGACTTGAGGTTAGCGCAAAACCAGCTGTCAGGTGAAGAGTCCCGGGTCTGACTTGCGCCCTGGGGATTGGATGTGCCCCAAATGCAACGTTGCTCCCTCAGAGTGACAGCCCTCAACCAGTTTGATCCAGGTTTGTAGTCTTTGTCCGTTAGACTGGGTGTAGGTTCAAGGTCTTGAGAGTTTGCTAAGGACCATGTTTTTGCAAGAAACGAGCACTGCAGGCTGCTTGTCAACTTGTTCCTGCATTGACTTATCGTCAAACCTCTCGTGGAAACGGCCTCGCCATGCAGGCGCTGTGGAACCACTCGTCCAACCGGAGCAGACTTGGCAGCCATGGCAGCGGCTGGCACGCTCCCCCCTGCCTCTACCGCAACTGTGGGGCACCAAAGTTCTCTGTTGCCGCTGGCTGTAGCAAGAATGCTACTAGGGGCTCCTGGCCTTACTACTAGGAAGAAGAACGCTACCAGGAACAAGGCCGTACTACTAGGACGCTTTTTCAACTAACAAACAGAGAAAGTCAAACATTGGGAGTCTGGGCAAAACAGGGCTGGGGAGTGTTGTGTAAGTCCACCTCCTTGGCTGGTCATTTGCCAATCGGTCCGACATGGCCTGTATAATCGTATTGCACACAGTCACCTGAAACTTATTTATATATATGTATATATTATAGACTTCTTGGTTTGCTGGGTTCCTGATGGTTGATAGGGGTTGAGTCTGACTGAAGACCTTTTCACTGCTTGCAAGGCCCGATCAGAGATGAAACCGGGTGACTGGCGATGCCCCCAATGCAAGGATTTAGTCTTTGCACGAAACAACGCGTGCTGAGCTCAGATCGTTTCAGTTCAGTGGAGTAGTGGCGGGAAAGGCATGAACAGTTTTCCGTGCATTGGACTGGCTATGACTTGCTCATCAACCACATCTGGAAGTTACTTGCAAAGAACTACCAGCAGAGGTAGCCCAGCATGGCCATGGAAAAGGATAGCAAGAAGACGCTACCAGTATCTACCAATACTGGTATCATGCAACGAGAATCGGTTACCAAATTCAATTCCTATGTACTGTAAGGATTGTTTGGTGACAGATTGTGTTTTTGACTCTCGTTTGGGGTGGTGAATTGGAGGTTGGCGATTGGTACAATAAATGTTGTAACAGACCTTGGCGCTTGGACATACTTCTACAAGTTCCGATCCACTTCACCACAGTCTAGCGATGCCCTTTGTTCCTAGTAGCTTCTTGCTCCTAGTAGTAAGGCCAGGAGCCCCTAGTAGCGTCCTTGCTCCTAGTAGCGATGCCAGGAGCCCCTAGTAGCTTCTTGTTCCTGTGTTTTTTCAAAATTATTTAATCTGTGGACTTCGATCTCGCTGTTTCGGACAAGGTGCAGGAGATGCGGCACACCAAGACCTGCCGATCGATCGCAGGGGACCCAGTCCATTCCAGTGACCCTGAGCTGCCTCAGAAAGAAAACACGGGCACAACAAACCAAAAAAAAAGGTAAGGGTCCCTCTAAAGGGCTGTATATAGGTACCTTTGCTTTTTTCATATCCAACACATCAACTGACCCGTTAGGCTGCCACTGTTGGGCAGCATCAGGTTTGACTTTGCTTTGCTCTTCAGCTATTTTTGGCCAGGGCATTGGGATAATCGCCAACTTGTTGGATTGTGACCTCCCTCTAAAGCTCAAAAGCAACAATGTTCCAAAGGAAAAGCCATCTATGTTATCTTTATATGGACACCCCCCCATGATCTACCTACAGCTGTTTTCTGTCGGCCTGCCCATACAAAGCTATGTTTTGACCCTGTGAGAAATCAGTGCTCCTCATTAGCTGACGACTACAATATTTAAACGTGCTAAACATATCCAATGTTTTGCATTTGTTGACCAACAACCAAAGAAAACCAAAAACAAAGATGTTTCGGGAAGTTTGGTTTCAGACTGTTGCTCAATTGTTGTTTGTCCAAGACTGCGAAATATTAGGAAAGCCAGCCGATAGGCTAGGCTTGAGCTGTTAGAGCGAACGAAGTGAGTTAAGGGGGTGGGCACATTTTGAGAGGGTGAACCCGGAGCTTGGGGGGGGAGGGCGCTCCAAAGCGAGGGTCAGAAAAGCAGTGAAAATGGGGTCTGGTGATGCAAGTGATGCAATGGACGCCGAGCAGTGCATCATTAGCATCATGAAGGGCTCCGGAGGCTATTTGGACAATGGGCATTGAGCACTCGAGTGGAGACAGGGACAGAAGTACAGAGCAGACCGCAGCCGCATGTAGGATACGAGTTCCCACGACACCCCGTAACTCGCGAAATCCACAGCCGAAAGTGACATGAGTTCAACTCCATGAATTTGGATTGAATTTCAGGGGATGCCTGCGAGGTTGACTACATATCCGCAATGGGTTCCTGCCCCTAGCAAAAGCTGTACTTGCACCATGTGTTCGGTCGAGCGGATGCTTCTTGCAGCGTCCACACGCACCGAACGTTCCGGCTTGCCGGTGCAGATAGATAGATAGATACATACATACATACATATACTCATAATACATATATAGATAGATAGATAGAGATAGATAGAGATAGATAGATAAATTCTATATATTACTGACTCATGACGTCGCCTTTTTGCTGGCAGCCCTAGCCGAATCCAGTCAGCCTGGGTCCACGGCCCAAAGATCTACACACGCAGGTGCCAAAGTCAAGGCCTTTGAGTGAGAAAGGCGCAGAGTTCGTAAGAAAGAGAAAAAAACAGGTGTTTGGATCGTTTAATAAAGGCCCCTTTAAAGGAAAAAGACTGACTCACTCAAGTCCAGGCATGTGCATCGATAGGCGCACAAATCCTCACTCCTAGCTGCTAGCCCAAGCTACTCCTGCTGGACCTCCCCTTCTGCGCCGCGGGATCAAACGTCCGTGTCCCGGCTAAGACGCGCCCGTTCACTCTTCCAAATCAACGAAGGCTTGTCGACGCGCCGCAGTATGCATTGCAAACTTCAAAAACTCCAAGTGTAACAAACACAGAATTGTTTCTTTGCAAACGCATGCCCTACTCGCGCGCGCGCGCGCCCGCGCGCTGCTCGCGCGCGGCGACGCTCACTACAGAGAAGGTCTGCCTGCGCGCGCGCGCGCATGTGGTATCCCACCACTCCAATTTGGACGGCATTTCCCTTTCGCTAACGCTGATGTCGCCTTCCAACTTCCATAAGATGCATGCCTGCCTGCGTGTGACAAACACATGCCATTGCCTTGTAAGTGGTGATGACCTACACCAACTTACAACGTATCGCATTTCTCTTCACTACTTCTTTCATAATTACCAAACTTAGCCCACAGCCGCCCAGCTTGCTTCTCTGCTCCCTCAATCACCATTACATACGCCCCCCCCGCATCCGCGGCACCGCTGACTCGCAAGCTGCCGACCATGTGTCTTGTGCCGCGACGCCCGCCAGAAAAAGAGACACTCGTCTGGCGGCTGCTGGCTTTCGTCCCCCCCTTCTCAAGTATTATATACACGTGTTTTTTTACGTTGTCTTTTTTGGTTGACAAGTGAGAGGCCGTCTAAAAGAAACAAAAATAAGAACTGAAACCACACTTCCCGAAACATCTTTGTCTTTCTTGCATTTGGTTTTGGTACAAAATTGATAAGCATAGCACGTATACAAATATACATGTTATTAAACATTCTTAAACGCAACAGCTCAGCAGGTATTTCGCGCCAATCCTATTGAATTCTAATGGTTTCCGTTTACATTCTTTTAATTCTTTTTCATTCCAATTGATTTCCCTTTAAACTTTGGTTTCCTCATAATTTCTTTAGTCAGTTTGGATTATCTTGAACAGTTTAACTTAAACCCGTACAATAGTTTTTGAACCTGTTTGGCATTAATAAAAGCATCCCCTGCAGTCACGTCTACACTTGTCATTTTTCCCTATTTTTACGTGGGAGTTCCCTTTCTAAACATTCTACAATCAACCAGGATTCCTGGTTGATTGTATTGGTTACCCATTGAATTCATTTTTTGATTAATGTATCTTTAATTCCGTTGATGTCTTTTGATTTCCCTTTAAGCTCTTTAGTTGCTTCCCTTAAACACCCTTGTTAAATCTTGGCAACGTATTGCAAAATCTATTCCACACAGGGGTTAGCCCAATACAGCAAATCAGCTGCCAAGCAGGAAAAGGTAGAAGAGCTGAGAAGTAGGAAAAGCAGGAAAGGATAGAAGAGCAGTAAGGTAGCAGGAAGTCAAATAGGTGAGAAGAGTGGAAGAGCTAAACAGCAGAAGAAGTGAATATGTAGAAGAGCGGAAAAGCAGGAAATCATGGTGGGAGACGAAAATATGACTTAGATATATGTATATATTATATATATATATTTGTTTCAACTCTGCCCAAAACTAAGCCTTAAAAATGCATTCCAAAAAAAAGTACAAAATACCACAAGCATCAGCAACAGTAAGCAAAAGGTCGGCGCTGCCTTCTTGGTGATATACTGTACCATCTATGTATGTATGTATATCACGGTATATCGGACTACCATACGTACATACATACATACACACGCGTTCATATGTACGTACTTACATACACACACTACACTACATAACACTACACAATAAAATTCAAGACAAGCCAATACATGTATTACATACGTATGCGCTGCTACAGTGTAGTAAGCAGCATACTCTATAACAACAGCGTTCGGGGGAAAAATGCATTCAGAATGCATTCCTGGCAAGATCCAAGATCTAAGATTCCCACAAGACTCCTGAGCAAGTCTTGGATTTTGGATTCAGGGAAGAATGCATTCTGAACGCGCTCCTTTGGAAATGCATTCGCGCAGGCAAGCCTGTCTTTGCGTGTGCCCAGTGACATCCCTGCTGTCAGCATTCAAAATGGCCAGGTCTGTCTTTCTTTTGGGGTTGACATGTGTGACAGCGTTCGCACCTGGCAAGAACATTTTATAGAAAGAGCATGTAGTCTTTATCAAATTCGTCGCTTAGAGTTCCCATGTCAAGTTCGGACACTTCTTTCCAACATCACTTGACAGGCATTTTATGGAGACCTTTCTCGTGACCAACCATCGTCTCTCAGCCACACGCCCTGTCGTCCCAGCCAGGCAGCCAGCCAACCAACCACTAGCCCATGAAAGACATTTCCTATATTTACCTAGAGGGTTTCTGGTTCCGGCCAGGCTGGCTGCCAAGATTTTTATCTTGATTATTTTTTTTTGCTTTGTATTTTATGGTGGAAATATGTTATCCCTGTATTGTTTCTTATTGATATGGTTTTGCATGTTATAGAGATCTCTTGTTTTTCTTTTGGGATCTGTTTTATCATTAGAGGCTTGACAGGTCCATTCTTCCTCAACTGATTTTTTACTAATGTATTGCTGGGTCTCATGTTGCATTTATAGAGGTTTTATCCTGTGCCACCCATTTGATAGGCAATTTCTCTATAAAATGCTCGTCAATTGATTCCACAGGCAAAGCGCAGAGGATAAAACAGTAAGTTTTTTCTTTGAGAGCAGGACGCTATGCAGGCGTGTGTTTTCCAGTGTTTTGTTGCTTTTTGATGTTTTTGGTCTGTTTCAAGTTGCAATGGGTCTAGCATTGGGTATGGTATTGTAATCTGTCCTGGATGCTTCCCACAGAAGTTTGGAGCCGTCTTTTTTGCAACCATTCACCGTTGACCTGTGGTAGCTGGATGCCATTCACCCTTGACCTGTGGCAATGGTAATGCAGATGGGCAGATGGTGATGATAATGCTAATGAAAATGGTGGTGGTAATGCCACTCACCGACCTGTCGGAGCTTGATGCCATGCACCCTGTGATCTGTGGTAGTGAAGATGGTAATGCTATTTATCCTGTGACCTGAAGGGGGCTTGATGCTAATGCTGATGGCATTGAAAACGCTCATGGCAATGTTAATGGTACCGGTAATGGCCATTCACCCTTGCCGTGTGGAAATGCTAATGGCAATGGTAACGCTCATGACAAAGGTTTTGGAATGCCATTCACCCTTTGACCTGTGGGAGGTATGCGGCAGCCTGATTCTATTTACCCTTGACCTGTGGCAATGGGAATTGAAATGGGAATGGCAATTCTAATGGTGGTGCTAATGGTACTGATAATGGTTATTTACCCTTGACATGTGGTGACGCTAATGGCAATAGAAATGCTCATGGCAATGGTGATGGGACGGCTGTGGGACCTCGATGCCATTCACCATGCTGATGGAACCGAATGCCATCCCTGTGGCAGCTTACGCTGATGCTAATGCTAATGCTTACGGCGCTGGGAATGCTCACGACAATGCTACTGATAATGCTGATGCTAACAGCAATGGCAATGCTCATGGCAATGCAAATGGTGCTGCTAGTGGCCATTCACTCCTGTGGCCTGTTGGAGCTTGATGGATGCTAATGCTTATGGTACTGGCAATGTTAATGGCAATGCTAACGCTGATGCCAATAGCAATGGTAATGCTAGTGGTAATGGTAAGGGTAATGGCCATTCACCCTGTGACGTGTGGCAATGCTAATGGCAATGGTTATGCTCGTGACAATTGCGATGGAATGCCATTCACCCTTTGACCTGTGGGAGCTATGCACCCTCTGACCTGTGAGAGTGGGAGCTTGATGCCGTTCACCCTCGACCTGTGGCTACGGGGATCACAATGGCACTGCCAATTCCTGCGGCAATGGTAATGCAAATGGTGATGGCAACGCAAATGCAATGGTGATGATAATGCCAATCGCCAGGTGACCTGTGGGAGGTTGAGGCCCCACACCCCACACTCTGTGACCTGTAGCAAGGGTTCTGCTGCTGCTGCAATTCACCCTTTGACCTGCGCGGGTGAGCTGTGGGAGCTTCATGCCATTCACCCTGTGACCTGTGGGAGCTTGATGCCCCACAGGTAGTACTTCCGAGGGGGGTAGTACCTCGGGGTGGGTCGGCCAAAATATAAACAATAAAAAATGGATACCTCCAAAAAACAAAGGCGATTCTTTTATTCTTTTTTGGCCGCCGACCCCCCCAGAACTGGTGAACTAGGAAGACTACTACTCACGAGCAGACAACGAGCACCTACCAACAACTACGAGGTCTCGTCCTCAACATCTGAACAGCTCCGACATGCAAAGTGCTGGAAAACACACACCCGTATAACGTCCTTTTCTCTTTTCTTTGGGGGCCTAACATATATGTATAATAGTTATATATGTATTTTGTACCCCCCAGAACCTTAGGTGTTCATAGATTTACTGACATTTGCGGTGTTTTCTACATTTTTGAAGCGATTATAGAAGTCATTTTGACTTTGTTTGTCTGGGGAGTTCTATATATATATATTAATAAGGTCATGTATGCATACACACGGTTCTCGGAATCATGGAAGTAGACTGTCCAGCATTTAGAATTCCAAAAATTTTAGAATGTAATATAAAAAATTCTCAGGAGTAAGAAGTAAGAGTGCGCAGCACTCTTGTAGGGAGTCCTGCTTCCTGTACTTGGGGAATTTCTGAAAAATTTTGAGATATGTTAGCAAGACGTAAGATTGCACAGAACTCTCCCAGATAGTCGTACTTCTTACTTCTGCGAACCTTTTGAAATATTTATATAAAACATTTCTGGAGTTGTCTAAGTATCAAAAGTACATATCTCATATCTTCACTGTTTCTGGGGCAGCTGGACATTACGCAAACGCTAGCCATTCTGGCAGAGGGGTGATTGAATACTAAAAAAGGCCTTGTCCCTTAAAATTAAACCTTGCCTTGCCTTTTCTAGTTCTTTCATTACACATTTGCATTTCTAAGTGTTTATCGTGTTACCTGTTGGCAGATTGATAAAGTCCTTGTGTTTTTTTCAAGTAGTGCCACTTGTATAGTAGTGTACCTTATACTCATATACTTGTCTTGCAGAAACCACCAGGGCTCGTGTAGGCATTGCTTAAATCCCATTTGCACTCTCCCTTTACGTGCTTGTGTCCTTTCTTCTTTATAAAATGTTGGATTCTGGGTAACATGTCCATTCAGATTTCTTGCAAAATCACTTTTATATTCCAAACTGTATTTTTGACTTCTGCATTTTGGTGTGTTTTCTCATTCTTGTTTGTTGCAAGTTCCCTGTATATTTCTCTTATAGTAGTACTAGCACCTGGTTGAGCAAGTTTTTTATCAATTCGTCTTGGGATATTCTCCTGCCATTAGACCTTGATTAATGATTGTCCTGCTACTTCCATTGCTTCTTTGCTTGCCTGAGTAGCAACAAACCTTGCTATATATATATATATTCCGTGCTATTCCTATCATTGCACAAAAAACTGAGGACACATTAGGAGCGATCGACTTGTGTACAAAAGGGTCTTCGTAAATTACTGAAATAATTCAGACTGCCCGAATTCCCAATCAAGGTCACTTTCAGGTGTCATCGTAGAGTTGGTTGAACATATAAAGAACTACTTACCAATTCCAAGTGTTGGATCAGAGGAATTTCTATCCCCACCACATGTAAAGCAATATAAGTTGTTTTCTTTGAAAAAACTGTATTATATGTTGACAATAGCAATTGTTAAGAAAGGGCATCTAATTAAACCTATTTTGCCGAACTGGAAGCTTATGCACAGATGTGTATGTATATACAGTGGTACACATATTTAATTATAGACACATGTGACACATATAAGGGTGGCGCTTATGCAGACACAAACTTGCAACTTCAAGTTCAATAATTTGGTCTCACAAGACTCCTCCAGAAGGCCTCATAATCAGCGCCCGCCATATGTATAAATATATATATATATACACATGCTATGGATTCCATACCATTGGCGCACATCTGACTGACACCTCCTGAAACATGTATCTGAAACATCGTAAAACCTAGGTTCTGGATCAACAAATTGTTTACACAATCCTAGGATTGTCCTGGTGAGCTACCATTAAACAGACTGTGTGTCCCGAGGCGCAGCCCAGTTCGTTAGGCAGCTGGTGCTGCTCTCGCTAAGCGGGTGGGTTCTTGCTCTGTGTCTATTGATGTCGACCCGCGCGGCTGGCAGTAGCGAAGGATTGTAAAGCCTATCATGGGACGTGGATAAACATTGCGAAGTGGCAGAGCTCAAACGTGAAGGGTATTTGGTCGCGAGTAGAAAGATGTAGGACATAGAGCATATCCTTTGCATTGAAGTACTGTAGGTTTGTGGGGCGTGACTGACAACCCCTGCCACCTAGAATTGTAGCATTTTGTGTGGGTATGTGAATGTGACTTGCTGCCAAACCATTGGGCTCAAGCTTGTCATACCGATGCACAGAGCTCAGGACGATGGTTGGGATTTGTTCACGGCGATGTTTATGCCTCTATGAATTCTGCTGACCCCGCACAAGAGGATGAGGTGGTCAGAAACCACCCAGACACCACAGACTTGCAGCAAGTCTGGAACGCAGGGCCTCGAGGACACATTGCGAGCAACTTTGATTTGAAGCACGAGAGGGGAGGTATGCAGATTGTTTTGAAACAAGACATTTCAAGCCGGGCAGAAAAGATGAACATCCAAATCGCGTGCTTGAATCACAAAATCAAATCAGTTTTTGATTTTATCACGAGCTTGCCACCAGTTTTTCATTCCTGGGCATTGGGTCGGCGTAAGAACTCTGTGGCGGAATCTGAAGATTTGGAAGCAGACAGCCTTGAAGTAGACGCTCTTCAACCAACGCCAGTCGACGATGCGGAGGCCACCCAAGGTGGAAAGAGCACTCCAGTTCCGCCCAGCCCAAGGCCACAAGGAAAGAAACCAGGCCCCAGAAGACGTGCCGCGGTTGTGACATTGAGGAACGCTGAATCTGTCGAGGATGCACGGAAAAAGGCTGCTGAGGCCTACTTTGTCGAAGAAAACCGGCTACAGAGCTCTTTGACGGCCTGCGTTGTCAAAGACATTTGCCGGCACATCTATGATCACGTAGTTGTCGAGAGCCCGCCATGGAATCTTCGCATTGGCAGCGTTGAAGCAGTGGCTGTCTCAGCATGCTAGGGCCTACAAACTGTTTGCTTTCTTACCACGACCCTTTTCGCATATGAGCCACAAGCCCAAAAGCTGATTTCGAATCGCTAATCAAGAAGTCGATTGAATCACCTTCGAGGCTTTGATCGCTTGGGATTTGACATCCTACATTCATGGATGCTGCCGCATTCCAATGACAATGGTTACCCAGCGAGAAGGCAGGTTGCGGCTACGCAGTCACTTGGCGCAAAACATAACACGATCTAAGGAAGAGACTACACATTTATTTTTATTGTGCTCATGGTTGATGACCATTTCGCTCTACTTGGGAGATATTTGCTGAAGGAGCAAGTGTTGCGTTTGGCTTTCTTATGCAAGGTTTGCCTGGCTTGTTGTTCAGGATTTGTGCTTCAGTCCGCTTCAAAGGCACGTGCTTCTTGGGTATGATATGAGAGGGTGCGTGTGAAAACATGCAGTGTCGTGTAAGCAGCTTTGGCTCCATTGAATTAAAGCAAGATCCTCGCCATACACGCAGGAGAAAGCTGTCTGATCTTGTGGATCAAATTGCCGACATCCTGCGTTTGCGTGGTCACAATTTGATGACCTTGTCACCTTGCTGAATACAGAATGATGACTGACGGTTGCGGGTGTGCGTGTTGATCCGAACGGGCTTGTTTTGGACAGGTACCTGGGACTTCCAACGGAGGGGACTTCAGTCCCAGGCTTTGTTTGCACATGCGGTCTCTAGTTGCACAACAGCTGCTTCCATGCAATTCGCGTGCCAAGATGATTCACCAACGTTTTGGCGCGTTCTCAAGCTCAGCTGCAGGCAACTCTGTCACTTAAGTTTCCCTAAACATCTAGGAACCAAATCATTAGTGTGAGCGCTTCTTCTTCAAGGAAGCTCCCCCCGCCCTCAGGCGAGGGGAGCTTCCTTAAAGAAGTGTGACCTATCCTGTAGCTTAAGTAAGCTAGTAGCTGGTAGCCACCTCAGTTCCTTACTTAATTAAGTAGGCGCCTATTTAGTCAAGTAGGCAGCGGGAGCGAGCAGGCTTAAAGATATACAGTACAGAATTAATATGAAGACAGTTAAACATGTTGCTGGCATTGACAGCTTCCAGCAATTGCAGGCGCCAGGAGTGGAACAGTGTCCTCGCAAGCTGTGACTTCTACATCGCGAGAAGGCGGGAAAAGGTCGGTTTAGGGATTTGAATCTGTGCCCTGAGTCTCTCAAGGCAACAAGTGTGAGATCCTTAGCTGCTTGGACACATGTCAGCTGGGACATCATGTTCATGTCGCACTGCGCATTGCTTCGGTTTATTTCGCCGCTTCAAGCTCAGGCGTTCCATCATTTCTGAAGTAACTTTCGAGGACTTGGACGGAGGCTGATTGCTCCGGTTTTACTTAAGAATTGGACGTGTTATTTGGTCTTGTTTTTCAATGGTTTTCCTAGATCCTAGAGTCTTTTCTAACATTTTGTATGCTTGCCCTGCAGAAAGCAGCAATGCTTCGGTCCCCACAGGCCTGGGATAGCTAAACAATTCATCATGGATTTGGGTTGACACTTGAACTATTTGCTGCTCAGTCGTGAAAGTTTCAAAAGAAGCATAAAAACGCTCATTATCTCAGCATGGGCAATTCCAAAGCCCGTGTAGTGAAGCTCAATGCTGTCCAACCCGCCCGAGGCAATAGTTTTCCCATCATGCCGCAATACATGAGTCGTTTTCAAATTACAATCATTTACTTTATACACGTGCGTTTCATGCAAGACTGTGATTTTGAATTGTTACGTGACGACAAAAAAAAAATGTATTATATATTTACATATAATTTACAGTATTTACTATGCATTGGCATATTAATATACAGCGTATCACTGCATGTTGATGTTCCAACGCTGCAAACACCTGCAAAGTGGTATCTAAAGATTCTAAAGTGTCCATTTGCCAAGTGATACGGGACGGAAGTTCGAACTTTAATGAATACACGTTAAACACATGATTTGCTCATACGCAGCGCTTCATGCTGTCAGGTCTTGCTTTGTGGAGAAATTCACGAGGTGAAGTGCGATTGAAGGCAAGGGGCTCGCACTGAGACATTGTTCCTAAGTCTTGGACCAATTTCAAGCTCAAAAAGCGATGCGTGTGGCAAAGAACTTAATTACAGTAGGTATAAGTGCCAGCTTGGATCGCTTCGATTTCCGACACAAACATGCGAAGTATCGTGAAGTTCAATTTGACACGAAAGGACGCTCTCAAGGTAAGTTGAAAGATGTTGAAAAGCAATGAAGATGACCCTTTTTTGGACTGGAGGGGGGGTAGGCCGGAGGTAGGTCCAGGTAGCTAGTAGGGAGAGGTAGATAGTAGATGATAGTAGCTACACTGCTCCCTGCCCAAATCACAATTTATATATCACACGCCTTTGTTTGTCCAACTCAGCCAGGCAACAGAACCGTTAATGGTTCGGCAGAGGCTGAAGCGCGTGCAGCCAAAGGCACGGGTAAGACAAGTGCAACAATGATTTTTTGCAGGCATTGCGAACTATTGCAAGAGGGCTGCATTTGCAAAATTCTGTTTGAATCAAGGCGAAATCATGCAGTCAAGGAGGCGTGGCAGCAATTGACAAGGCATCTGTTTCAGCTCTGTCCATGAAGATGGGTCATCGACTCAGCAACTGCTTGAAAAGAAGCTTTGCAAGCGCATTCAATCTCAGGTCATATGGAGCAAAAGCATGAGCATGAACAGGATGCAGCTTTATTTGCCAAGCCTTGAGCTACATAGTTGAAGAGTTTCACTACGTTAAGTTTCCCAGCAAAACCCAAGACACAAGACACTTAAGAATCAAATCACCACGCGAAGAGTTCTTCTGCGTTCCAAGCCTACCAGCTTCTTCCTACTTGCTTCCCACCCCTTCACACCCTACCCCCGCTCTTCCAATAAAACAGTGAAACAAACAAAGAAGTTATGGTGTTGGTGTTCGCTATCACTTGAGCCCACCTCAAGGAGCTGTGGCACCAATTGGCCTTCCCTCCGAAGCATCAAGAGGTAGCCACGACATCTGCCTTTGTGGCTGTGGAGTGGCCCGTTGTACAGGTTCGATTCGAGGGTGAGAAACATTTAACACTGACCAGACTAGATGTATGTAAAAGTTGTGTATCGTACAGCGCCTGAACCCTTCCGTTCTAGCCTGATCGCCCTTCATGACCTGCGAGGAATCTGAATGTTCATCGGTGTCGTGTGCCTCATTGGAGGAATGTGCTGAGGTGGGCTTTGGTTTATTTGTGGAACTCAACCAACCTGCATTTCTGTTTAAACATATGGAATTGGACATGTTTGCCTTCAAAGGACTTCTGCATTGATCGACATCAAATTCAATCAACCTTCAGTGTACTCCCGGCAAATTTATTCAATTGTTTTGAGATCAAATCAGTTCCGCTCCAGTTTGCACCTGAACATGCCCACTCTTGATTAATGGCAGCTTTAGCATGACAATTTGAGGCGAATTTGGAATTGGATAATCGAAAAAGATAAAGCAAATTAAGACAATGTTAAAAGAGATCAATCTGTTTTTTCTTCAACAATTTTCGACGTTTTTGTAAAAAGACAGATGCAAAATGAACATACGCACTCGAAACCAAACGACCAAACATTATTTGACACACTTTGCAAGACTTTGTGGGACACATTTGTAGGACACTTTTATCGGAGACTCTTTTGTCGGACGGGACATTGTTGTGGGACACTTTTATTGGATACTCTTTATGGGATTTTGTCGGACACTCTTGTGGGACGTCGTTATGAGACACTCATAGGACATTCAAGACCTTTCCATCGGATACTTTTATTATGGAATACTTTTATGGGATATGTTAGTTTATAAAATGTTGTTGTAGGAAAACATTAAACATGATGTCCTGCCTGGATATGAGTATGGTGGCTACTTTACTGCTAGCTTTTAGTGTGGCGGTTGCTTTCTTGGATAGTTTTATGAGGGCGGTGATCTAGGCTTAGGGTAGAGCAGCATGGTCTGAGTAACAACTTGCAGTGAGGTTCCTAGGGTGGTAGGGTGGATCATATATCCAGACTTGAACCAATTTGGCTCAAGTCTGGACCTTTTCCGTGCACCCCACAAGTTAGGTGGGGTGGTTGGGTCGGACGCAATGGCTGGGTTGCTGCCGGATCGTGCGATCTTAGACAGTTGGACGACGGTGGCTGACGTAGCCACATGGGCTGGAGTTGAGGCAGGATTGTCCAGATGCGTGCTCCGGCAATTAGGAGACCCATTGGATATCTTTACAAGTTCTTGCAGTCATCCCGACTGACGTATACGTGAACAAGCTTTGAACACAGCAAGCAGGGGTCCGTGGACTGTTGGAGACAGAACGTGCACAGTGGAAGCTTTTGCTTAGTGCCGTGAGAGTGAAGTTTGGTAGTGCTTCTCTTTTCGCAACAGGAAGTGCAGTGGCAAGCAACAGGAAGTGCAGTGGCAAGGCCCTCCACCGCAGGCACTGCAGATGGGTCGAGGGTGACAGGTGCTAAACTGAAGCCCAAGATGAGCCAGATCATGGACCAGGGCTGTGACTTCGAGGTGGAAATGTTGTCAGGTACATTGTTGTAACAGATAAGGAATCGCTTCGTGATGACCGAGGGAGACAATCCATTAGACTAGGAAGAAGCCACGGATGCGCAACTGACTTGCTGCTTGTCTCACAAACTGCAATCAGGTCAGACACCTGTTGTGGACATGGCCATTTGGGGCCCCCGTGGAGGAGAGAGGATTGCAAGAGCTATGAGGGTCGTGTTAGTGGAAGGCCATCGAGCTGCTAGGGGCCGCCAACTTAGATAGGTCGGAAGAAGCTTGGAGAGTTTTCCGCACGCGAGCGATCATGACAGAGATGTCAACGGTAGCTACGTTGGACAGATATCCTTCAGAGTTGAGGGCTCGAGTACTTCAACATTCTGACGTATGGTATCTTGCAGCGTAGGTAGATGCTTGTGGTTGCCTTTGGCTCCTGGCACAGTGCACTTGAGGTGCTAGAGAGGTTGTTTGAGCCAGCGTTTGAGCTGCTAGTATTGCATTTGAGATGCTAGAGAGGTTGCTTAGTATTGCATTTGAGATGCTAGAGAGGTTGCTTGAGGTAGCGTTTGAGTTGCTAGGGCAGTGAGTTTGAGGTGCAAGAGATTGTTTTGAGATTGTAAAAATTGTATAAAGTTGATATTTTGCATACACAAGTATGTTACATGCCCATTTTGACGTTTGTTGGGAAATTTATTTGTTTGTTTATTGGCGTATGTGACATGTGGTTTGTTATAATTCATGGCGTGTGTGTAATGTTTCTATAATAATTTTTTGGCAGATGAAATTTATATTGATGCACTTTTGCTATCTAAAAATGATTATATTTCGGTTTTTAGCTATTAACATATTGTTTTCTTATTTGGATTTAATGGTAAAACTTGAAGCATTAAGTCCTTTTTTAACAACTTCTTTTAGCACCTTAAACGTATTGCGCTGGGAGCTTAGACGCTAGTTTAAATAACCTCTCTAGCACATTAAACGTATTGCGCCGGGAGTTTAAATACTAGTCTAAACAACTTCTTTTGCACCTTAAACGAATTGCGCCGGGAACTCTAATCGCAACTATCTACTAAGCAGCAGTAAGAACATTTAAAGGTAAAAAGATCAATTTGTATATTGTTTTGAAATTTTCACAATAACAAAAAACATTGGCCCTTTGTTTTGTGTTTGTTTGTTGCGCACATTTGGCAGATCTAAACTTTTGTTGTTGTTGTTTAAATTACAATTTAATTTTTGGTGCTGTTTACAATAAAAACATATGATATCCTTTGTTGAAAGCATACATATAGATATACATACAGATATGAAAATTGAAAAATCTAGGTCTTGGAAACCCAAGACCTGTCTAAGTCCTGGATTGATAGGACTTGGATTTTAATTGGGTGGTCCTCCATTTGATTTGGTTTTAAGGTTCTAAGTGTCTATTATTTACGCGTTTCTACAGATAGGGGTAGTTTTAATTCCCGAGGTCAAATTATTAAACAAGATTGCAATAAATATTCTTTAGCGCTTCATATTTTCCATTTTTATATGTAATTTTTATGAAACCCATGTATATATATATATTAATTACTATATTATATATATATGATTTTTGATTGATGCATATTTGACAAATATTTTGATATACCCCCTTCATTATCCTGAGCAATTCTTTAACGACTTCAACTAGAGTGTGGGATCTTGAACTCATGAATTACTTTGAACACATTCTCGTTTATCCCCCTTTGTGTGGCAAGGTGTAGTGTTGTTCACTGGCAAAGTGCAGACATGAAAAAAAAACACACACAATATGCATAGCACCTATTATTGCCTAGACTAATGGTTCAGATATCCTAGATAAGCTTGGCCCGCCTCGAAACTATGATGCATTATTAATAATAAGAATCCATTGGTGTTGACTCATCCTGATCACCTTTAAACCGATGTCAAATTGTAAAACATACGACGATACGCCCTTGCAGCGGGCACATTGCAAAAGACTATAACCTATGACAAGAATCCGACAGCGTGCAGTTTCCCCAAGCACCTTCAAACCGACGACAAATTACGATATGTGTACAATGGTTCGCACTTAGCCTGACTGCTCTCAATACTTATAAATTTTGATATGGATTCTACTTCACCTTCGCCGCCCTCAAAAACCTGGATCATCCTGGCCACCTTCAAAACCTTGTCGGGTCTCCAGTACCTTAGACTGCATAGGTGTAGAATTCGATTGTCCCTCTAGTGTGATGGTTACAACTGGGTTTCCCTCGCCGCCTTCTGTAATTGCCCTGGATCCCTGCGTATCTTCAAAATAACGAAAAAGTATAGTAAACATAAAATCATCCCGCGATATGTCTATCCTATTCCCGCCCTATCTCGGGCGCGCTTTTGAGCCATCTTCTCAAAGCTTGGGCGCTACTGAGCTCTCTTGGCTCCGACTTGGGTTCTGTGGTTCAAGGGAGGGTTTGAGAGAGATGTAGAGTAAACCCATTACCGGCCACTGTTAAAAATGCGATAGAATATAATAAGAGTCCATCGGTGTGCATCCGGACCACTGTGAAAATTATGTTCAATGCTGAACAGAATCTATTGGTTTGCGCTCAGTCTGGCCAGCATCAAACTTATGAAAAGATATGGTAAGAATCCACCAGCGCTTAATCCTGGCCACCCTCAAAACCATTCTTAATTATGATAATCCAACGTTATGCGTTCACCCTGATCACTTCCAAACCTATGGTAGATACCGGTAACATTTTCAATACTATGACGAATTGCGCAAAAACAAATCCAACTGTGTGTGCATTCACCCTGATCAGTTCCAAGACTATGATAAATTACGGTAAGCGTCCAACGGTGTGCGTTCACTTTGGTCACTTTCAAAACTATGGCAAATCACGGTAAGCATCCAGTGGTGTGCGTTCACCCTGGTGACTTTCAAACTATGATAACATGCGGTAAGAGAGAGTCTAACGGTGTGCGTTCACCTTGGTTACCTTCAAAACTATGATAAATTTTGGTCATAACCCAATGGTGCGCATTCACTCTTGTCTTTTTCAAAGCTGTAACAAAAGATGGCAAGAATCCAAGGATGTGCGCTCACCCTGGTCACTTTCAAAACTAAGATAGATGACCCAAGAATCCATCAGCGCGCATTCATTCTAGTCACTTTTGAAACTAACCCAAAAATGGATTTAAAGAGTTGAACATACCAAATGGCAATTTCCTCATCGTATTTTCCAACTTCGATTCTTGTCACCAACACCCCCCATCGTTTTGGGTAAGGCTCTTACTTGAAGGTGCTTGGGCAGCAGTCATTCATCTTTTTATACATCTTTCAAAATCAAAAAACCATTGATTTCCAGATTCCTTCCACAGATCATCAAATTCTCCATGCAAAGCACCAAATCCAGCAAGCAATTAGTGAGGAAAAGCCATGGCCGGACATGCTTTGCCATCGTATTTTCCCACTTCGTTTATTGACGCGCTCTCAACGCTCGCGAGCGCTTGTGAACCATTTAGGGGATGGCTCTCAACGCTCGTGAGCGCTAGTGAACCACCCCTCTCAACGTTCGTGAGCGCTTGTGACACCCTTGAGCACGGGGCTGGGACCCCTCTCAACACTCACTAGCGCTAGTGACTGTTGAGAACCTACCCCTTAAAATGCGCATTCTTATACCTACCCCCTGCGTAGTGATACGTTACTTGTAACACGCTGCTGGCAGGGGGGGTGGCTCTCAACAGTCACTAGCGCTAGTGAGTGTTGAGAGGGGTGGGTCAAATTGATGCAGTCATCTCAACAGTCCGAGCAAATCCCAGCCCC